ATCCATTTGTCCCCAATTCCCCCTGCTCTAGCTCCATTATTCTACTGTCTCAGTTCCCAACATTTTGTGCCCATCCCGGCCAACATTAGATTTAATAATCTCAAGAATTGCAGTTTATACAATTAAGGTAGTCACTGCTTGCTATCTTTATCCTTTGTCCCTCCTCATCAGCCTCCAGAACGTTATCAGGACTCCAATTTCTCCTGGGGGTGGGAGAATGGACTTTTAAGGAATGTTTATAGTTACTTGCAATATGGATGCAAATAACTGGGGCTTATGTACCTAGTCTACAAACAACGTCCATCCCGTGTGTAGTTGTGATCAAAGAGTGACACTTTGAGGAAGAAATGCCCTATAAGTACTCTCAGCAAAAATTGTCAGTAGAGCTAAAGGGGCATTTGAAAATTCAGCTCAGCAACCCTCTCGTCCATGCTGAGAGGCATTCCCTTCAAAAGAATCTCCAACCAGATGGTGTTTGATATTCCTGACCTCACAGCAAGTTGTGAAAGACCCTGGGTTTTGAAGTTGGCGAGCTCAGACTCCTAGGTTTTTGGTTACTTCTTAGCAAAATTTATGTGGTATTATCTGTTCCACATAGTTCCCTCTTTATAGAATCTTTCATAAGCCTACATCCATATTAATTTTCCTTATCATGAGGTCTCATAATCTGGTATCTTTCCTTTGTATCAACTGTCACAGTTTTCCCTTTAAAGTCTGTAATTATTCACTAATAATTGTAATTCTGTACTGGATTACTGTGAGCTCCACCAGGCCAGGGACCAGAATCTTCATTGTACTCTTGTCCACCCCAGGCTAAACCCATCACTGTATCTATTCCCAGATTTATCTAACACAGTGCCTGGCACACAGTTGGCAGTCAGAGAACAAATGAAGCATTTTGCCGGCTGTCTCTGGGGCGTGGAAGTTGTTGCCCCGGGCCCAAATTTCCGCTCCGTGGCTGGGATGGCTTGTATTGTAGACCCCCAGCACCAGCTCCAGCCTGAGCCCCTGCCCAGGTCTTGCCCTGCACACGGGAGCRCCGCTTGGGGCGGTGCCTCACCCCGTGACGTAATCCGGGGCGGGACTTCCGGCCGCCGAAGTTTAACAAGTCCAGGCGGGAGCCGGAAGCCGAGTGCTGAACGGGTTGCGCCTGGGCTCCCTGTTGTGCCGCTSCGGAGAGGTGAGGTCCCAGAGGTCCCGGAGTCAGCTGGTAGCCCGATCACGCGGGTCACGTCCGACCGCTTTCCTGTCGCCCGGCCGCCTTTCAACCACTTCAGAGTTGGGGCGCYAGGGACGCTTGGGTTCCGCGCGCTCCGGCCGGCCCTGCGCTCCAGGCGGTTACCCGGCCGGGGCGCGGCGGGCGGGGAAGTGGCCCGGGATTCTCGGGTCGGGGTCACGCACCTCCGCCCCCGACTGCTCCGCCTGGTCCCGAGAAGTAGCGGGTCCCGCTAGGGTAGTTTGACGGCGGCTGAAGGGGGTGCGCAGCCTCCGGAAAGTTTTGCCTCTTCCCCACAAGTCTGTCTCCCGTTTTGTAAACCTCCCTATGGTTCTTTTGGCGGGCACTGGAGTGCGTTTTACCAATAACCCCAGGTGAGCCGTGCTCTGGCAAGTAGAGTGCGTCCTGGTGGAGGAAAGTTGGAGAAGTTTTATTCAGCTGAGTGTTGTTGACTTGTTGCGAGCAGCTGCCATCCCTAAACTGGGCCGGCCTGGTGTCCGGTTTATGCCTGGTGCCCTGGCAGATCTCTTTGGACGGGACTCCCTTTGAAGAGCTGATGTAGCGCTTCTCCCTTTAATGTGCTCAGATCCCAGAAATGGGTGATAGGTAGGCARATGGTCCCGTTTCCCACTTAGAGAAGAAAAAATTTAAGGATTGTCAAGGTTACCATCACCTAAGTTAGGGCAGCACTTTAAACCCATCTTTTTCTGAACTTTGACTTCAGTAATCTACCCACTACACCACATTGCCTATCGGGCACTGGGTAGGGTTATGGTAGCTGGCTACATCTTTCAGGAGTGTTTCTAGGCTTAGAGATCACCTTTCCAGCATCTCATTGTTACTTGAGTAGGAAACCAACAGGGCAGAAGTTACATATGTTTAAAACACCAAATCGAAACACTGTATGTGTACATTTCAACAGGTGACTTCAGTGACTCTTAGTAGCACTGTTTATTTGATGAAAAGAGCATAACAAAACATGTGAGTGATCTTTCTGGTGTTAAAAGTGTTAGCTTTTTAATAAATATTAATTTTTTTTTTGGTCTTTGAGACTGAAAGATTCCTGTAATTCATTTTTGCCTTTAACTTGTCCTTTGAACTGGAGTATATTAGACCTAAATGTGATGCTTTCCTGATGACTTTGGGACCCGTATGATATGACTATTGCTATGCAATACTTGTTCACCYTGGTACCAGGAAGGTGTTGGGAGTGTACTTCTATGCTCTTTTTCTTTCACATGTACTTTTGAGCATATTTTTTTCTTACCCATCATTCATAGTACTTGCTGTTCTTTAAAGTATCTGCCTGGATCAACTTCCTTGCCTCTGAATCCTAGACTGCCTTTGGTTGTGAGAGCACCTTGTTAGAATTATGTAGTGCCTCTAAATAGTGCATACTGTAAATAAATGAGAAAAGTGAAGGTATCATAGATCAAGAATTGGTATAGGGATAAAGTGGCATCTCTTTTGATGGTATTACAAATTTTAGTTATTTGGAAAACTTGGGATGTCAGGATTCAGACTTGCAAGTACACAGGTTTATGGTACATTTTTAAAAAAATATTAGGATGTTGCTTTTAACACTTATGTATTGAGTACCTACTGTATGCCAGGAATGTTTCAAGATTCTGATATAGGAAGGCAGACCTTATTATGAGAACAAATAAGAATTTCAGATAGTAGTAAATGCCATGAAAAAGAAATGAAATTGGGCAATGGAATACAGAGTAAAGAAAGATAAGTGTTAAAGGACCACTTTAGCCACAGTGGTCAGGGAAGACCTTTCTGAAGCAGAGACACTTGAGCTGAGACCTAAATGATGAGAAGAAGACCATGGGGCAGCAAGTGAAAAGACACTGAGGTGAGAATGACCTTGTCTTSTTGTATGAGACAGGAGGCCATTGTGTTCAGAGTCTGGTGGCCCTTGGGGAAGAGAGGTAGGAGAGTTACCCAGTAACCAGGTCATGTAAGGTAGGGTAAGAAGGTTGGATTTTATTGTAATTGCTATTGGGGAACAATTGGAAGGGTCAATCAAGAGTATGTGATATATATTTTAGAAAGGTCACTGCTTCTACTTTGTGGTAAGTGCTCTAGAGTAAAAAAGGACAAACAGCAGTTCATTTTTGATTAGATGTTTCATTTCAACAGGTTTTTTCCTCCCCATCCTGTTTAAATATAATGTTGTAAACTTTTTGTAGGCGCAGTCATGCAAGAAAACCTCAGATTTGCTTCATCAGGAGATGATATTAAAATATGGGATGCATCATCCATGACACTGGTGGATAAATTCAACCCACACACATCACCACATGGAATCAGTTCATTGTGTTGGAGCAGCAATAGTATCCTTTTTTTTTTTTTTTTTTTTAAGTAACCACCTTATTGGGCTTAACAATAAGTAACAATGAAACTTTGGCATATTACACATAATGAAAAATATATTTAGTATGGCTACCATTGACTAAAATATAGTAGTTTTTAAAAATTATATATAAATGTATTTTGATTTTGTCTGTTGATTTTATTTTTTTAAAGGTTGAGTTGCAGCCTACTCATTCAAAAAATATTAGTATCTAGATATAGAACATAGAATTAATTGTGTTATCAGCAGTTTGGAATGAGTTTTTGCATCTGCATTTGACTATTTGAATCTGATTTGGAAATTAATGACAGAATTTGAAGACAGAAACAAAATGAGGAGGAAATAAATTGTTGAGTATCATCATCTTACTGATATTCTACTTGTATTTCTCTCCCTTTCTATGATGAAAGTAACGTTTCCCAAACAGAAGTAGTAAAATTGTATAGCTTGACTTCTTTTCTTGGTGAGCTCCTAAATGTGGATAAAATGAATGAAGGAATTACACCCGTAAACTAATGTTTCTCARCCTCTCGCTATTGACATTTTGGGCTGCCTTATACATTTGTCATGGGGACTTTCTATACATTGCAGGGTGTTTAGAAGCTTTCCTGCTAACTACCCACTACATGCCAAAAGCCACAATGGTGACAACCAAAAATGTCTCCAGAATTGCCAGAATCACCCCCAGTTCAGAATCACTGCTGTTAATTCTTAACACCCTTTTATGAAAATATAGAATTGGTATGCTAGGAACTATTTTTTTTTGTGATGTTTACACTGTTTCTTAAACAACAAATTGTTTATGATCTTATTAATACCAAAGTATTAATGTTTACTTCTTAATGAAAGAAAAATATTAAAACTTTAAAATATGACTTATCCTTGAACAAAAATATTAGAATTTTTTTATGTTTAAGGCTTGTTCTTACAAGTACATAACAAATATGACAAATTTTCTTAGCTATTTAAATGTACCTCTTCATCATTTCTTGATTTTTGCATTACAGTAGTAAAATTTACTTTGGTGCTCTATTAATCAAACTCATAGTAAAGTAACTAGTTTTTGAAGGACTCTCCAATGTATAGTAGGGAAAACGTTTTGAAGAGAGAGGCAAGTAAATGAAGTGGTTGCCCTCTTTTTAGATTTTCATTATTTTCAGAGCTTATTTTTTTCTGTTATTGTGTAAGAGAAAAGAAGTAATTTTTAATAAGATTTATTAYTTTTTGTTCTAGGGAATTTTACTGGGAGCTGGCATTTGCTGATATGTTTCTAAATGACATATCAACAAATTGATGTGGCTATGAGGTTGTGTTGGTTGGCTTGGAAACTGGTTTTATTTCAGTATAGTTTTCTTGTGTGCATGAATCTGCACTGAAAGCCTTCATATATTTATTTGTCTTCCTAATGAGATTTTGATTCCTTCCATGGAGGTTGGTTATTGAAGAATAAAGAATAGTTGAACTCAGCAACTTTTGAGTCCCCATAACATAGATTCCAAAAATGGGATTAGTGCAAGGTGCCAGGGAGGTTAGTTTTCTCTTTTGGTTCTTTAATAATATTCCTCATTTTCTCATGACTTCTAAAAATATAAGAGAACTTTGAAAAGTATMTAGCTTACCCTTTCACAGTATCTTCTTTCAGTTCTTTTTTATATTCTAAGGACAAAATTAGTAATAAACAGAGGAAGAAGCCAGGGAAAGGGAAATGATTTATTTTTCTCAGTGTTGTAGTACCTATGTAGAAATGATTTTGTTTGAATGATATTATAATATATGGTCTAGAAAAAATCTGAATGTTATGCAGCTTATCCAAAAGTAGTACAGTTAGGATTGAATGCCTAGTTAGCCATTCTCCCTTGATTCTCTGCATAGACTTTATTTGTTAAAGAGCATAGATTTAAACTGCTGATATTAAAATGTGTTACGACTCTAAAAGTCTGAATTTTATTCTTGATTGTATTAGTATATTCAAAAATTTTAGTTACTTTTTTGTGTTTACTTATTACTACCCATTTATGTAAAATAAATATAATTTTAAATTAAAATAATTTAGATTATATTTAATTTAAAATAGTTAAAATTCTTCCATTACATTAATAGTTGCTATTGAACCACACTCACTTATATTTGCCAGTTAGTGTACTATTCATTCTGAATATATTTCAGACTGAAATATTCTATCAAAAGAATTCCAGTTCTGAGAAAATATTAGTATTCATTTTTTTTTGTAAAATTAGGAGAGTTGCGAGGGTACTTACTTTCTGGCTTAAATTCTTACCAGACACTGGTTTAATAAATAAGCATCTTGAGCAGTTTTTATAGATAGAAAGGCTGACTTGCTATTTGCTGATGCTGCCTTTGTCATGCTCTCATTTTTGAAGGATAAAATTAGTCCTTCTGGCCTACCCCGAAAATGGAGTAGAATTTCACATGGGTTAAATAGCTTTCAAGTGATAGCAGAGCCAGAAGGGGTAGTTCTTTCTTGCAGGAGTAGTAAAGAGARTTTGTAATTAGTAACTTGAGCTGATTTTGAAAGCTACTGTGTAAGCTGTATTTATGTGCTTATCTTAGTGTTTGCTTGTGTGATTGCATTCTGAAATAATAATCTAGTGCCATGGATGATCATGGATTGTTTGCTCCATAACTCTTCATTTAGATAACTTTCTTGTAACAGCATCTTCCAGTGGTGACAAAATAGTTGTTTCAAGTTGCAAATGTAAGCCTGTTCCRCTTTTGGAGCTTGCCGAAGGGGTAAGTTTTTGTTTGTTTTTTAACTCTTTGTTTAGAATCATAGTTCTACTTGTGTAGCAGTTGCTTATTTACTGTGGCACTTGCAACTTAAGATGAAAGTAGTTTAAAGCATTATTTTTAATCTAAACTAAATACAGTAACACTTAAAGGTGAAGTACATGTGCTTACATGTGTTTAAGATAAAATAATACTGGATCCCACAGGAGCAATTGAGGACTTGGATTGTATTAATTAATACTTGCTTTCTCTGTTTTTTTCCTCTGTAGGTAGGATTTTGTTCAAGCTTGATTTAGGACTATGTCACACCTAAGTCACTAAGTTGTCCTGACCATGTGAACCCTTATGATATAACTACTCTTACTGACCTTGGGTTCAGGATCATCAGCTAAAGACTCCCATCTGATGGTAGCCCTCTGCCAGATTTAGTTGACTAGGTGGGGGAGGGGCTGCCTGAGCTTCTCTCAATCTCCTTGAACTGATGGCTTTGTCAAAATGAACTTTAGTCCCATAGCACATGAAATGGAGCACTCACTGCATATTGTTTCTTTATCCTGTTTTATGTTAATCCCCCTGATTCAGAATAATATTGGCTTCCTCATTTTCCTTGAAAACTGTTTCTTTTTAAAACAATGTAAAGTCTGAAAAAAAGTAGTTGGTAACTTTTTTTTAAGTTTCAAAGTTTTTGTAGTAGACCCTAAAACATTATAAATGATCATAATTTTATATACTGAGATAGGTAAGGTAGCCTACTTAGAATGAAAACATCAGAACAAAAGAATAAAAACTCTGCCAACTTAAAGAGGACAAGATTTTTAATAAGTTTTTAAAAAAAGTTTTTAGTAAGTTTTTAATCAGCACATTGTAGCTGGAAGTATTTATGGCATAAATTGATATTTCAGTTCATATATGCAATATGCATTGACAAGCATCAATTAGGTTGGCATATTCATCACCTCAGAAAATGTATTATTTCTTTGTGCTGGTAACATTAAAAATTCTGTACTAGCTACTTTGAAATATACAATTATCAATTGTGTTCAACTTAGTTACCCTACTGTGCTATAGAACATTAGAATTTTATCAATCCTCTCTTACAGGTATCTAGTAGGACTGGCCTGAACCTCACTTCCAATGCACAGTTGGAGGCTTGGGCAGAGCTAATGTCTACTAAGGGTAGAAATGGAGTTTGAGGTACTGTGCCTATTCAAATAGAATTAATTTATGTYTCATTGTCCTATATATAGATCCCTATTAAGAACCTATGAAATTTTATAAGATACCTATAAAATTGCTCAATTTAAGCTTTTACAGGTGTCCTCTGTAAGGATGATGAGACATAATACATTAAGTAAAATTGAGGCAAGAATGTCCCTGGTCAGTCAGTAGACTGCAGTCTTCAAGAGTAGGTAGAAACCATCTTTGGATCTTTGGATTTTGTCAGAGGTGGTCAGTAAGCATTTATTGAATCAGTGTCAGTGTCAATGCTGAAACATTTTCCTCTGTTTTATTTACACACACACACACACACACTCTCACACTCTTTCACTCTTTTATGTATTATGCCTTAGAATCAGTGAATCTATTTTTTCTTCCTAAGCATAAACTCAACAGATGATATGCACAAGTGTGGCTCAGTTCTAAGGATTTTGTGAATATTTTAAATTAGTTGCTGTAATTCTTAGTTACCTTTCCCATGTTTAAGAAATCACATAATGCAAGTAGGTAAAAGTGAAATCATTATAGTTCTAATTTTGAATCTACTTAATTTACTTATAAAATACTTTCCAAACATCGATTCTATAGTCTTTCTTATGAGTTTCATGTAAAGTATTCATGTGTTGATAACTTGGTTTTTTGTGGGATCCAAGTCCTGTTGCTCATGGTATTTGAAATCTTAAATCTTTTCTGCTAGAGAGAATAACATTCCATTCTACTTATTTCAAAATTGCCTTTAGAGTAGAACTTCTAAATTTTTTTTTTTGCGCGCGCGTGTGTGTGCACGTTTTACTTCTTTAAAGTTGACAGAATGTTGTTAATAAAATTATAATGGGTAACAGTAGATGGGGTAGAGAAAGATGGGAGGGGAGGGGAGGGGGATAGGAAGGGGATAGAAAAAAAAAGAGAAAAAGAAAAAAATTATAATGGGTATTATAAGCTACTAAGTAATCTATAAATTTGACCAGCTGTAATTTTTAGATTTTTTTAAAAATTATGCCTGTTGTTGGCTTATGTCTTGGGGTTACAGGATTCCTGTAATAACCACACATTTTCTATTAATTATTTTAAGTTATTTAAGTTTATTTATTACATTAATAATAACATAAAAAGATAATCTATTAACAGGGTAAGCCAACTATAAGTGTAGGTTTTATTCTGAACCCTTAAGAATAAGTGTAATTTGGCATTCTAACATATCAGTCTTTGCTGGACATCATCTTTGTCTATTTTCTTTTTTAAAAATATTTTTTAGTTGTTGATGGATACATTTATTTTTATATGGTGCTGAGTATCAAACCCAGTGCCTAACATATGCTAGACAAGCACTCTACCCCTGAGCTACAACCCYAACTCCTTTGTCTATTTAAAGTTTATTTTGGTAATTCTTAGCAAATTGTCCTGGTTTGCAGTGACAACCCGATTCTAAATTTTATTAGTTTCTTTAGACCAAAGTCAATACCTAGAATGGTACCTATAAGAGAATTATAGCAACTGTACTAAAACACTAATGTAATGTGCATCCTGCTACACTGTTATGTTAGTTGATATTCTTGGTCAAAAACTAGGAGAAACTTTGGCTAGTCTAACTAGAGTGCGGGAACTAGACTTTCTGTACCCTGTTAAGAATCTCTTGTGCAGAAGATGTTCTTGGGATATATAGACTGTCAAGGTACAAATAGTAGATGTAGTTCTTACCTGCCATTTCTCAGATGAAACATAGGCTCATCGACATGAGGTGAGTTGCCTAAACCTATATAACTCAGCTTTGAACTTAAGTCRTGAAATACCTCTTTTGGATTTCATTTCTTTGTTTTTTTTCATGGCACCCAACTGAAGATATGGACAATTGATATAACTACATAGTGCCTCTGTAGGTGAAATAGGAACATACATGTATCATTTTGCTGTATTGCATTAGCACAGTTACTGATGGCACCTACTAGATAGGAATATTTATAGATTTTCACTGTGAGAAGAACTTGGTAACCTCTGTATTTCTTAGCCATTTACTTTATAAGTGGAGATGATCTCTAAAAAACCTGGCATTATGGTAGAAGATAGGCAATAAATTACAAGCAAAGGACACCCAGGTATTAGTGAGATGTTTTGCAAAGAACTAATGTAAGATATTGGGATAGTAATTTATACCAGGTGGCTAAGGGAGGCTTCCTGAAAAGGTAGCACTTAAGTTGAAATCTTTTGACTAGAAAAAGCCATCCAGACAAGGTTCAGTGAACTTAGCTTTCTAGGCAAGGAGAGTAGCAGTATGAAGACTTGAGGCAAATACAGAATTGTTGTGAATTTAATAAATAAAAGTTGATATGACTGGAGAATTAGTAGATAAGGAAGAAAATGGTAGGTGATGAAGTAGACAAGTAGAGTGCTTGTCTAGCATATGAATAGGGCTCTGAAAGCTAGGTTAATGGGTTTGGAATTTATTCTAGGTGTGATTGGAAGCCATTGAAGATTTTTAAACAAGTAGAGAGGCATGCTTTGATTTGTATTTTTTAAAGTTCACTCTGCTTTATGGAGTTTGGTATATATGGAAGCAGGAGTAGAACTAGTGAAAATAGGATGTTGCTGTTTTCGTTTGGCAATTTTTGGATTAGTGCTAGTAGTAGCTATAAATAAAGTTGTTTGGAGTTTATAGAACCTATTAATGGATTGAAGGGAGAAAGAACAAGGAATCAAGGATTGTTCAGGATTTTTATCCTGAGAAACGGAATGGATGGCATCCTTACAGAGATGAGGAAGAATGTAAAGTCAGTTTATTTTATTTTATTTTATTTTATTTTATTACCATACTGGGAACTTAATCTAGGTCATCAAGCATGCTAGGCAAGTACTCTACCACTGAGCTACATCTCCAGCCCCTGAGGTCAGATTTTGATGACAGGATTAAAAATTGGGCTCCGTATGATGAGATTTGCTAGGAGATTTAGGGCTTGTATATTGACCTGTTTTAAAAAAACCAAAAAACAGAAAAAAAAAACCTCTCCATTTGTAATTTGTTTCTATTGTAAACTAGAAAATTCTTTAAAAACTTCACTCTTTACCATTTTCCAATCTGGGAATTGATTCTAATTTCGGATACTCTGTGGAGATGAGAGAATAGGGTGGTTTTTTTTTTTAATATTTTTTTATTTTTTTTTTTATTTTTAGTTGTAGTTAAACACAATGCCTTTATTTTTAAATTTATTTTTCTTATGTGGTGCTGAGGATCAAACCCAGGGCCCTTCTTGTGCTACATGAGTGATCTGCCACTTGAGCCACAACTCCAGCCCCTAAGACAATAGGTTTTATTAAAAGAAAATATTAAGGGCAATCTGATGGGAGGCCCAGATTTCTTGTTTCCTAAGCTTTCCCTGCTGTCACTTTTCAGTGGAAGAGACAGCTAATATAATTTCCTTGATGTTTTCTAGAAATTCTTGCAAGCTGTTGGATCCATATAAAAGATGATGAGAGGAAAACTCTTAGTGTAACTATTACCATGGAATGCTTACTAAGTGCTGGATAAGACTTGGTAGTTGTGGGGTCTGTTAAATTAACTTTTTTTTTTTTTTTWAACAGCAAAATCAGACATGTGTTGATTTAAATTCCACATCTATGTATTTGGTAAGCGGAGGCTTAAATGGCACCGTTAATATTTGGGATTTAAAATCAAAAAGAGTTCATCGGTCTCTCAAGGTAAGCAATTTTCTTTTAAATCTTTACAGAAAGGGTATCACCCAATGTGTTTTAGAGTAATTATCCAAACTTTTAATCTTGAGGATAAARTTAAGATGCTTGAGAATTGAAGTGAGTTTTGTCAGGGGAAGTAAAAGTGCTGGTTAACCAAAAAACCTTGTCCTTTTTGCCTCCATGTATATTAGGGCACATTGCTAGCATTTGTTTCAACTACTTCTTTGTTTGCTTTTTTTTTTTGTTTCAACTACTTCTTTGTTTGCTTTTTTTTGTTTAGCTTTTTTTTCCCCTGAAACATGGTTTGTTGTTATTGGGGATTTTTTTTTAGGCACTTTGGAAAGATAAAACTGGTTCTGGAATGACGGCAATCATTTTAGTCATCAGAGTTGAGGATTTAGCTTTTTAGTTTTGTGGTATATTAGGTTGCTGATAATGAAATACTTATTAAATATCTGAACATTTAAAATTATTTAAATCTATTTAAAATTATTATATTTTTGCAGTTTCAGAAAATAAAAGTATTCTTAATAAAGTATGATTATGATGACTTTTGTAATAATATTTACTCGTTTTGTCTTTTGCTTTTTAGAAGTTGATCTTTAAAGTTAMTTTTAATTTTTACTTTTAATAAAGTTTTAATGTGAAAAAATTTAATGTATATGCGTACTCACACAGGAGGAACTTCCTTTAACCCGTCAATCATATACTTGTCATCTGACATCAACTCTTGCTCAAGAGTGTTTCATTTTAAGCTGGGCTCAATGGTGCATACCTTATAATCAGCAGCTCAGGAGGTTGAGGCAGGAGGATTGCAAGTTCAAAGCCAGCCTCAGCAAAAGCGAGGCACTAAGCAATTCAATGAGACCGTCTCTAAATTAAATACAAAATAGAACTGGGGATGTGGCTCAGTGGTTATCCCATTAAATCCCCTGTACCAAAAAAAAAAAAAAAAAGTGTTTCATCCTTATCTTCACCAACTCTCATCCCTCTACCTTCAGGTTATTTTGTAGCAACTACCAGTCCTTTTTTTTTTTYYTTTTTTTTTTATGATTTAATGTCATTGACTTAATTCTTACCAGAAAAGTGATAATATTGAAGAATGGTTTTCTCTTAGCTAAGTTGAAATCTAATTCTCTTACTGCTATTTAAATACTGTCATTTGAAGTTGGTTCTTTGAAAAGAAAAACAAGATTGATAATCTCTTAGCCAAACTAACCAAAAGAAAATGGGAGAAAAACCAAATTAATAAAATTAGAGATGAAAAGAAGAAATCACCACAGACATCTTAGAAATCCAGCATATCATTAGGGCCTATTTTGAAAACTTACACTCGAATAAATTGGAAAACCTAGAAGAAATGGATACATTTCTAGACAAATATGATATGCCAAAACTGAATCAAGAGGACATAGAAAACCAATAATTTGTAATGAGATATGTGCAGTAATAAAAAGCCTTCCAACAAAGAAAAGACCAGGACCAGATGGATTCTCAGCTGAATTCTACCAAACCTTTAAAGAAGAACAAATGCCAGCACTCCTCAAATTATTCTGAGAGAGGAACAAAACACTACCAGATTTATTCTATGAAGCCAATATCACACTCATGCCCAAACCAAATAAGGACACGTCAAGGAAAAAAACTACAGACTGATATCTCTGATGAACTTAGATGCAAATACTTAATAAAATATTAGCAAATTGTTTTCAACAACTCATTAAGAAGATTGTACACCACGAACAAATTAGTTTTATTCCAGAGATGCAAGAAGAGTTTAATATATGTGAATCAATAAATGTAATTCATCACACCAACAGAATTAAGGACAAAAATCATTTAGTGGGCTGGGGTTGTGACTCAGAGATTCAATGCAATCCACATCAAAATTCCAGTGACAGTCTTCACAGAACTAGAAAAAACAGTCCCAAAATTTATTTGGAATACTAAAAGACCCAGAATAGCAAAAAAGAATTTTAAGCCAAAAAAAATATGCTGGAGGCATCACAATACCTGACTTCAGATTATACTACAAAGCTAATAATAACAACAGCTGCATGGAAGGCACACACGGACTGGAATTGTGGCTCAGTACTAGAGCACTTGCCTAGCATGGGCAGGACCCGGGTTTGATTCTCAGGAACACATAAAAATAAAGGCATTAAGTTGTGTCCATCTACACCTAAAAAATAAATATTAAAAAAAAAAAAAAAAACAGACACACAGACCAGTGGTACAGAATAGAAGACACAGAGACAAACCCGCACTGAGTCATCTGATTCTTGACAAAGGTGCCAAAACCATTGAAGGAAAGATAGCCTTTTTAACAAATAGTGCCAAGACAACTGATTATCCATATTTGGAAYGAAGCTACCTTCTTATCTCTCACCCTGAACAAAAATCAACGCAAAGTGGATCAAAGACCTCAGAATTTGGGGCTGGGGATGTGGCTCAAGCGGTAGCGCGCTCGCCTGGCATGCGTGCGGCCTGTGTTCGATCCTCAGCACCACATACARAGATGTTGTGTCCGCCAATAACTAAAATAAATATTAAAAAATTCTTTTTCTCTTAAAAAAAAAAAAAGACCTCAGAATTTGACCAGAAACTATGCAACTCCCAGAAGAAAACATAAAGTCCATGYTCCAGTTTTTAGGCACAGTCAACAATTTTCTCAGTAAGACCCCTAAAACTCAGGAAATAATGCCAAAAGTTAATAAATGAGATAGCGTCAAATTAAAAGGCTTCTGCAAAGGAAACGATTTGGAATGTGGATAAATAACACACTGAATGGGAGGATATCTTTTCTAGCTACTCTTCTAACAGATTATTAATATCTAGAACATAAAAAGAGATCAAAAAACTTTAYACCAAAAAAATCAAATGACCCAATTAATGGGCAAATTAATTAAACATAYACTTCTCAAAAGAAGAAATATAAATGGCCAACAAATACATGAAAAAATATTCAATATCATTAGCAATTAGGGAAATGGAAATCAGAATTACACTGAGGTTCATCTCATACCAGTCAGAATATCAGTTATCAAGAATGCAAACAATAATATATGCTAGAGAGGATGTGGAGAAAAAGGAATCCATTTACACTATTGGCGGGACTGTAAATTTTACAACCACTGTGGAAATCAGTATGGAGGTTTCTCAAAGTCTAGGCATGGAACCACCATATGCCCCAGCTATACTACTTCTCAGTATTTTTCCTGAAGAATTAAAGTCATGTTACTATAGTGCATATCTGTGTTTCTAGGAGCACAATTCATAATAGCCAAACTATAGAACCAGCCCAGGTGTCCATCAACAGATGTTTTATATATGTTTTATTCAGCTATAAAGAAAAAATGCAMTTRTAGCAGTTGCAGGAAAATGGATGGAATTAGAGACCATCATAATAAGTGAAATAAGTCAAACCCAGAAGGTCAAGGATTACATGTTTTCTCTCATGGGGAAGCTAGAGAGGAAAAAGGAAAAAAGGTGGGGTAGATCTCCTAAAAATCAAAGGGACATCAGTAGTGGAAAGGGACCAAGGGGTTGGAAGCCCAGAGGTAGGAGGGAAGTGCTGGGGGTTGATACTGACCAAATTATGTTTTTATGTGTTTGTATTAATATGTAATAACAAATYCCATCAACATATACAACTATAATGTGCCAATAAAAATTTCAAGAAAAAATAAATACTGCTCTGTGCAGTGGCATGCACCTGTAACCCTAATAGCCCAGAAGGCCACTAATCCCAGTGATTGAGGAGGTCAGGACATGAGGATCATGAGTTAAGAGCCAGCCTCAGCAACTTAGCAAGACCCTATTTCAAAACAAAAAACAGAAAGGCCTGGGGATGTGGCTCAGTGGTTAAGTATCCCTGGGTTCAATCCCTGGTATCAAAAAACAAAAACAAAAAAACCCAACAAATACTGCAAAGCAAGTAGTGTTTTCCTGTGTACAGATGGACAAACTGAGAGAAGTTAAAGAACTTTTCCTTTGCTGAACAGTTAGCAATGGCTAACTCATTTTAGACTGGCCTTGAGCTTATGATTCTCCTGAATAGCCGATATTTTAAGTGTGCACCATGAYACTAGACTCTTAATCTTTAAGTTTGAACTCAAGTTTTATATCTTCTTTTATATCATTTCCCATTTACTCCAGATACATTTTTCTTATTGTTTGAAATTCCTAGAGTGATTTGTTCCCTCATTCATTAAGTAGTATTTGAATGGCAAGTGGTGATAGTGGGAAATCTTATCTTTGGCCTTTGGATCCCTCACTTATTCCTGTTGGTATAACAATTTCTGGCACTTGGGTAATGCTGAGTAAATGTTTACTGAAAGACTTATTTTTCATTGCTGAAATTAGGAAGATACTGCCCCTTGACAAAGTCATARAAATTGTATTGGACTCCCATGTTCTTAATTTCCCAATTGGGAACAGTGCACAAAATGTGGTAATTCCTTTTTTTCTTCTTGTCAGACATTTCTTTCCCCCACAGACAATTGTTTCTTTGATTTAGAAAGGTAATAAAATGTAAATTTCTGAAAATACTTGAAGGATCATTTGAAAATATGTAATATATGTAATGTAAGTAATAAATTTGTAATATATGTGGGATGTGTAACTACTCTTAATAGGACATTAATTATTAGGTACCACATTCAGTTTATCTTATGGCATAAAACTGTTTAAGATTATTCTGTAAATGTTGATTTTTTTTTTCATTTTCCTATTAAACATCTTTAATTTGCTATTGGGAAGTAGTCCTTATGAACTTAGTTTGTTTAAAACCCTACACTTTATTTCATCAAAGTGGATTGCCATTTGGATTTGAGAGGGAGTCTCATAGTGGGAAGAAGATAGGCTTTGGAGTTTGACCTGGAATTGAATCCTGGTCCTGTCATTTAGCTGTTATATGAGCTTGCATGGATTTATTAACCTTTGTTTGCCTCATGTACTTTATCTATAAATGGGTAAAATGACCTTGCCTTTTGGGATTTCCTAAAGATTAAATAGTAGCACATAAAGTTCCCAGCATGGGTAGGTACTCAACAAATTTAAGCAGCTGCTGTGTGATCTCTCAGAATGTGCTTTGCTCATTGCTCATTTGTTTTTCCTCTCTTCATTTTCAATGTCTGGTTTCTTTCCTATTCCCCTGACTTGCCTCTTATCCTTTATATTCTTCTGTGTGTATGTGGCAAGGGTAGGGGATGGGAATTTAATCCAGGGATTTTCTACCACTGTTGTATATTCCCAGCCCTTTAAATTTGAACTCAAGTTTTATATCTTCTGTCAACTAGTTCAGAGTAATAGCCCATTTCTTTCTTTTTTTTTTTGGACACTTTGCCTCTACCACTCAGCATTTGCTGTGTCATTTACATGTTAATATAAATGTTTCATCTTCTCAGTTGGTAATACTAATTAATAGTCAACTTGGAATAAATACTATTTGTAAGTGAGAATGATTCTTTAAGGTAGGCATTTAAAAATTACCCTTCTATACTGTCTCTTGTTTCAGAGTTCTTAGACCATTAATATATTATGAAAGGTAAATATTGTTTCCTGGGAAGACTTGGTGTTGATTTATAGTTCCTTACATATCTGAATTTTTTTTAAACTTATTTCAGGAAAATATTAAGATAACATGACAAATGTAATGAAACTATGAAAATGGGCTGTTGGATGGTATAGAACATTACRCTTACTTGGATTTCTCTATTTCAGGATCATAAAGATGAAGTAACTTGTGTAACATACAATTGGAATGATTGCTACATTGCTTCTGGATCTCTTAGTGGTGAAATTATTTTGCATAGTGTAACCACTAATATATCTAGTACTCCTTTTGGCCATGGTAGTAACCAGGTATAGTATGGCAATATGGGTTTATTCAAAATGAAGTTGATAACATAGGTTTTAAAATTATTTTACATAAGATGATGAATTTATGTTTAAAACATTTTTATATGTCTTAAATTTGTATTTAGCTTGCTTAAAACATTTCTAGATAGTTTTTGATGGTGATGTTTAAAATGTTAAAATTATTTAATACATAATAGATTAGGGTACTTACCCAAATTTGATTATGCAATTAAATAGTTGCATACTTCTAGAATATAACTGTATTTAATAAAATACAACTAGCCGTTAGTAGGTTAAGCCTAAATATGGATTTTAATCTTTGATGGCATATATGTCTTATATAAGAGTATTGCATACTTCAGGCTGTCGGCTCCAAGACAGATACTTATGTTCATAAATAGCATAGATGAATTAGTCAGTTTTTTGTTGCTGTGACTAAAATATCTGAGAACAACTACTTAGAGGAGGAAAAGATTATTTTGGCTTATGGTTTGAGAGATCTCAGTTTGTAGTCAGTTGACTATATTGCTGTGGGCCTGAGGTTAGGTTGAACATTGTGGCTGAAGGAAATAGTAGAGGAAAGTGGTTCAGCTCATGGCTGCCAGGAAGCAGAGAAAGAATGAGAGTTGAGTGCACAAGAGCAAGTGGATGAACCAGTGACAAAATGTAATTCCCAAGGTCATGGTCCAGCCTACTTCCACCAGCCATGCCCCCTTTGCCTAGTCACCACCCAGTAATCTGTTCAGTGGTTAGGTTACAGCTCTCAAAATTTGATCATTTCACCTTGGAATATGCCTGCATTGCCACTTCAGGGGACATTTCACATCCAAACTGTAACAGTAGGTATGGGATAGTTGTGTTTAGGCAGAGGGCAATGGAGTTTTAGTTTCTTTTTTCTTAAATGTGTTAAAGAATCAAAATTTATGAGAGCTAGTCACTCTTGGAAAACAGTTTATTAAACATTATTTGAATAATATTAAGTGTTTAAGGAAAACTTATTGGATATTTAAATTGTACAGAAAAAAGATTTTTCAAGTTTCTATTAGGAATGAAGGAGATATATATCAATACCTCATAATACCATGTTTATAATAATCTTGGATTCACAACAGGTGAGAGAAAGCTATCTGGGAATAAAATTAGGAAAATTAAAGGGGTTAAATTAAGCTGGGTTAATTTTTGTTTTTGCTAAGGCATTATAATCTGTCCTTTTGGCAGGTTTTTGATGCTGATTTAGGCTAGATAAAMTTTTCACATGTCCACATTATGGTTGGAACCATGGCTTGTATCTCTGTTTTTATTTTGTTGTCCAGCTTCATGTATTACATGAAAAAGATGCTGGATATAATATGTGAATGTATGAATTCATTTAGAGATGGAAGAGATGTAGTAGGCTGATATAGAACTTTGGGAAAGGATGTTTGATAATAGAGAAAATAACAACAAGGAGAAAGGAAAGTACATAGACTTTAATATAGGACTGGTATGGGAAAAGATGAATATTGTTGTTAAGATTTGAATGCCAGACACAAGATTTGGCTTTTGTTTTGGAAGGATTTAGGGAAACTAATCAGAGTGTTTAATTGAAAATATCTGAACTAAAAAATAAGTTTTTGGAGATAATCTCATTTCCTTCATTTTATGGATGAGGATGTGATATTTTTTTTTACAGACATGTTTCTTATAATGTTAGTATTGTCATAAAAATTGTGTTTTGTTTTTGTGGTTGTTTTGTATGTATTTTGATAATGAAARCAAAGTCTAAGTTTAAAAATTTTGAAATTATTGTGAAAAAATTAATATACAGTGATCAAATGTCATAGGAAATAYAGTAATTTTTTGCTTTTTTGTATTAGAAGCATGGCAGATTTATGAAATTTGGACTGGCTTTTTAGTAGCATCAAATTAGATCAGGTACTACTATGTCTATTCTTATAGTTTAGTTTTTATTGTGTGTTGGTATAGTTTTCTTATTAAAACAAAACATAGAGGAATATTCCTAAAGATACGAGGCTTGTTTTTATGTGAAAGATTTTAGCTTTTTTATTTGAGAAATAACATACATGTAATAAAGTATGTATATCTTGAGTGTACAGCTTGATGAATTTTTATGTTTACTTAAAGCTGTATAAATACTAACAAAAAAAATACTAACAAAATCAAGATACAGACTATTTGCAGCACACCAAAGACTCTTATGTTTTCCAGTCATGTTTCATAAATCATGTGCCTAGTTTCTTTTAATCATGTTTGCTTTGTTGCATGAATTAGTAGTTCACACTCTTTTAATACTGTTTGAATGGGCCTTCATTTATTTATGCAGTGCATAGTAGATGGGTGTGTCAGTTGCTTCCAGTTTTAACTATTATCAGAAAGTTACTGTTGATATTCTTGTACAAGTCTTGGTTTAGACATATGTCTTTGTTTCTCATAGGTAAATACCCAGAAGTAGAATTGCTTGGTTGTAGAGTAGGCATATAATTTTATTTTATGTAAAATTATCCAAAAGTTTTAGGAAGACCTTGTGCCATTTTACGCTTCTACTAGCAGTGCATATGAGATTTAGTTATTCCACAATTTTGTTAATAGTTTGTGTTGTATACCTTAAATTTTGCCACTTTGATGGTTGTGTGTGGTATATAATGTGGCTTTGATTTGCATTTCTCTACGTTGAACTCATTTTCATATATATTCCTTTGTGAACTGACTGTTGAAGACTTGTTTACTTTTGCATTGGATTATTTGAGTTTTATGCATTTATAATTTTGTACTTATTCAGATTGTCAATTTTTGGATGTACTTTAGTCATATCCTATTTTCTTAATTTAATTGGCTCATATTAATTATACAGAGTGATGAGTTTTATTGTGGCATATTTATATAGGCATATAAATAATCTGATCAGTTTCACTCCCTAGTATCTCCCCTTACCCTCCTCTCCTCTTTCCCACTTATCTTCTTCCTTGACCCCCGTGGTCTCCATTTTACTCTCATGACATCCATTTTTTTCTTTTTTTCCCCCCCTTCTTGCTTCCACATGAGAGAAGACATACTGTACTTATTTGTCTTCTCAATCTGGCTTATTTCAGTTAACATGATCCTCTGTAGACGGATCCCTTTTCCTGCAGATGACATAATTTCAGTTTTCTTGATGGCTTGATAAAGTTCCATTGTGTGCATATACTACATTTTCATTATCCTTTTAGCAGCAGATACCTAGGCTGGTTCTATAATTTGGCTATTGTGAATTGTGTTGTGATAAGCACGAGTATGTCTGTATTTCTAGAGTAAGCTGACTTCAATTCTTTTGCATAAATATTGAGGAGTGGTATAKGTAGATCATGGTTCAGTGTTTAGTTTTTTAGAAACCTCCATACCAATTTCCAAAGTGGCTATATTAATTTACATTCTCAGCAAAATGTAGAAGAGTTCCTATATTCTTTTTTTAATTATTATTATTTTTTAGCTGTAGGTGGACACAGTGCCTTTATTATATTAGTATGTGATGCTGAGGATTGAACCCAGTGCCTCACACATGCTAGTGAACAGTTTACCACTGAGTTACAACTCTAGCCACCGCCCCCCACCCATTCTTGACTGCATTTATTGTTATTTATGCTTGTCATTCTGACTGGAGTGAAGTGGAATCTCAATGTAGTTTTTAAGAAAAATAATTTTTTTAGTTGTAGATGGACACAATCTATTTATTTATTTGTTTATTTATTTATTTATTTAATGTGGTTTGAGGCTCGAACCCAGTGCCTGACACCTGCTAGGTAGTGCTCTACCACTGAGCTACAACCCCAGCCCCTCTATGTAGTTTTGATTTACATTTCTCTGATGGCCAAAGAAGTTGAACTTTTTCATGTAATTATTGGCCATTTCTACTCGTTCTTTTGCCAAGTGTTTAGTTCATTTGTCCATTTATTAAATGGGTTATTTGTTTTTTTGCTGTTGAGCTTTTTTAGTTCTTTATATATTCTGTACATGAATCATTTGTTGGAAGAGTAGCTAGMAAAGTTTTTCTGCCATTCTGTGGGCTGTCTCTTYACTCTGTTGTTTCCTTGGCTGGGCAGAAGCTTTTTCAGTTGATGGCATCCCATTTACTGATTCTTCATCTTATTTCTTGAGCTACAGGAGTTATATTCAGGAAGTTGTTGCCTATAATTTTATTTTGAAGTGTTGATCCTACATTTCACTTCCAACACTTGTAAAGTTTCTGGTCTTACACATAGGTATTTCATACATTTTGAGTTCACTTTTGTATAGAGTAGGAGATGGGGATCTAGTTTCATTCTTCTACATATGGATATCCAGTTTTCCTAGCACCATTTGTCTAAAAGGCTGTCTTCCCCAATGTGTTTTTTGGTGTCTTTGTTAAGAATTAGATGACTATTGCTTTGTGGGTTTGTCTTTGCGTCCTCTGTTCTGTTCTGTTGATCTATGTGTGTTCATGCCAGTACCATGCTGTTTTTGTTACTATGGCTGTGCAGTATAATTTGAAATCAGGTACTGTGATACCTCCAGAATTGTTCATTTTGCTCTGAATTGTTTTAGCTATTCTAGGTCTTTTGTTCTTCCTTATGAATTTTAGTATTGTTATTTTCTAGTTCCGTGTAGAATGTCATCAGAATTTTGATGGGAATTGCATTGACTCAGTAGATCACTTTAGGTAATATGGCCATTTTAATATTAATTCTTCCTGCTTATGAACAAGGGTTGTCTGTCTTTTCACGTCTTTCTTTTTAATTTCTTTCTTCCAGCTGTGGTTTATCTTTTTACTCTTATAATATCTACACACACAYGCACACACCCCGCCATGGACAGACGTTCTTAAATTTAATTGGGTCTAGTTTGTTATTCTTGTCTTTTATGGTTGCTGTTTTTTTGTGTCCTCTTGAAGAATCTTACCTTCCCCACCTTTGGAAGATACTATTTTAACAATGTTGAGAGGTGGGACCTTTAAGAGGGGATTAAGTCATGAAGACTCTGGGCTTATGAAT